ATTTGACATATGGATATGTCATGAGAAAATACAGGTCAAGTTCGAATTTGGTCATGGTTCGATGATTTTTGGCAGAGTTATGCCCCTTTTACTTTGAAAATAATATGAAATTTCAGTTTCCGTTCATTATCTCCCCAACGGTACAACACATTTAACTCAAACTTGAAATATGGATATGTCATGAGAAAATACAGGTCAAGTTTGAATTTGGTCATGGTTCGATGATTTTTGGCAGAGTTATGCCCCTTTTACTTTGAAAATAATATGAAATTTTCAGTTTCCGTTCATTATCTCCCCAACGGTACAACACATTCAACTCAAACTTGACATATGGATATGTCATGAGAAAATACAGGTCTAGTTCGAATTTGGTCGTGGTTCGATGATTTTTGGCAGAGTTATGCCCCTTTTACTTTGAAAATAATATGAAATTTTCAGTTTCCGTTCATTATCTCCCCAAAGGTACAACACATTCAACTCAAACTTGACATATGGATGCGTCAAAGGAATGTGCAGGTCAAGTTCAAATTTGGTCATGGTTCAATGATTATTGTCAGAGTTATGCCCCTTTCACTTTGAAAGTAATATGAAATTTTCATTTTCCGTTTATTATCTCCCCAATGGTGCAACACATTCAACTCAAATTTGACATATGGATATGTTTTTGGAATGCCCAGGCCAAGTTCGAGTTTGGTCATGGTTCAATGATTTTTGGCAGAGTAATGCCCTTTTCACTTTGAAAATAATATGAAATTTACAGTTTCTGTTCATTATCTACCCAACAGTGTTACATATTCAACTTAAATTTGACATATGGATATGTCAAACGAATGGGCAGGTCAAGTTGGAATTTGGTCATGGTTTGATGATTTTTTGGCAGAGTTATGTCCCTTTCACTTTGAAAATAATATAGATACATCTTAGGAATAAGCAGTTTAAGTTTGAATTTGGTTGTAGTTCAATGATTTAAGACAAACTTATCTTTCCTGAATGTTGGAAAAATTTTGAACTTTCAGTTTCAGCACTCTTACTTTTAGCCATTATTTTGGCTACAAATATGCAATATGCTATTTTTAAAAGGTTTAGACTGAATAATTTCAGTGCCTTGAACATTGTATGAAAATGGTTTGTGTTAACATTGAAAAGTTTTAAGGGCTTTGAACTTAAAATGAAAAAAATAATTAATGCACCATCTGAAATTTTGGCTGCATGCGGGGGCATCCGTGGCATGATGACACATTTCTAGTTATAAAATGTTTTACGGGACCGCCAACTGTATTTTTAGTGAAAATCAAATAAAAATAAAATTTCATTTAAGAACTTTTATTTTCATTTTGTCCGCCGACCTCTCTTACCCACTTCTGTCAAAATTAAAAGTTACTCGTATTGGTACACTTTTTCACTTCAGTTGTTAACGATACTTAACTGTTAACTGTAGAATCTTGGTAAAGCAAAGGAACTTGCTTAAAACAAATGACAAGTCAGGCCCTTTGATGTTTACAAGCATGTTACAAAAGGCGTAACAAAAGGGAAGGGCAATAACTTAACAAGCTTGTAATAAATTAACCCGTGTGAATATCACGCGACACCGGGTCATGAAAGTTCGCTTTGGAAACTTGCATTCAATACAACTATGGCAATTTGAGTAATAAATATTAGAGCATTTTTCACACATGATTGTAAAACTGTTAAAAAGCACGACTTGGATTTAACATCCATTGCATAAGTTGATTTAAATCATCGTCTATTTCAGAACAGTTGTAAAAAATTAAATGGGCACTCAAAGCCGTTGATCGACTAAGGTGTCAGAATGAAACATTACTCGATTTACCACGGACCATGAGAAAACTTCGACACATTAAAATTGAGATTCATGTATAGGTTTCTATAAAAAAAAATATATAAGGGGAAAATCTGGACTTGCATTTTACTTTGACATATGGAGAAAATTGAGTAATCGAAATTCAACTCTTACATTGTAGAATCTAAGATTAATTGTTAGTATATTGATAATACAAAATCTTTATTATGAATCTTAGACCTAGAGCTAAGATATTTAGCATGAAACATCCTCTAATGGGTGTCTACCAAGTTTGTTCAAATAAAAGCCCTGGGGTCAAAATTGGCCCAGCCCCAGGGGGTCATTGATTTTCCCTATATGCATATAGTAAAAACTTGAAAAATCTTTTCAAGAACCCAAAGAGCTAGAGCTAAGATATTTAGCATGAAACATGTTCTAATGGATGTCTACCAAGTTTGTTCAAAAAAGAGCCTTGGGGTCAAAATTGGCCCTGCCCCGGGGGTCATTGATTTTTCTTATATGTGTATAGCAAAAACTTAAAAAATCTTCTTTGAAAAAAACAAATAGCTAGAGTTTAGATACTAAGCTTGAAACATCTTCTAGTGAGTGTCTACCAAGTTTGTTGTAATAAAAGCCCTGGGGTCAAAATTGGCCCCGCTCCGGGGGTCATTCATTTTCCTTATATGTGTATAACAAAAACTTAAAAAATCTTCTTTGAAAAAACTCAAATAGCTAGAGTTTAGATATTAACCACGAAGCATCTTATAGTGAGTGTCTACAAAGTTTGTACAAATAAAACCCTGGGTCATAATTGCCCCCCCCATGACATTGATTTTCCTTACATGTGTATAGCAAAAACTTAAAAAATCTTCTTTGAAAAAACCTGAAAAGCTAGAGTTTAGATATTTAAGCATGAAACATTTTCTAGTAAGTGTCTACAAAGATTGTTCAAATAAAAGCCCTTGGGTCAAAACTGGCCCTGCCCCAGGTGTGTCATTGTTTTTAACTATATGTGTAAAGAAAAAAACTTGACCAGCTAGACCCTTTGATGTCTAGCATGAAACATCTTCTAATGGGTGTCTACCAAGTTTGTTCAAATAAAAGCCCTGGGGTTTCAACTGGCCCCGCTCCGGGGCCTATATACAGGTGAGCGACTTCAGGACCATCATGGCCCTCTTGTTCACTATATTTCACCATCTAATGCACTATTTTTTAAATTTCCATTTGATATAAAAAAATATTACTATTGTATCACTAAAACCACATATTTTGCAGAAAAACTTCAGAGCAAATTATCTGCACATTTTAAACTGAAAAGCCCTGAGGCCAAAATCCTGCAGGCGTATTAAATTTATACTGGCAAGTTGTTAATTACAGTGTATGACACCTTCGCTCAGGAAGCCACAGGGGCTAAACAATTTATCTTTTAATTGATCAAAATTATTGCTGATATTTGTTTGTTGGAAGGGGCACATAGATATACCAATCAAAGGATTAGTGTCACCATTGCAATGCTGTAAGGGGATAAATGTTTGTTATTAGCGTTCTTGAATAGTTTCCTGATAAACAATGTTAAAATGCCTGCCTTCATGAGTGAGATTAATTAAGTAATTCAACATTGAAACAGTCTCTGAGCATGTTTTGCGTCAATGTGAAATGGATAACGTTTTGGACCCCAAATTTGGTAAGTTTCCTTATTTACAAGCTTAGCTTAACACAATGTTCGACTGGATATGGCCCATGATTTTTTTGTGAGTTGGGATGGGACAGTAAATGTTATGTTAATGTTGTTGTTTTTTATAATGTCAGACGATATACCCAAAAAATGATAGAGTTTTAGCATCATCCAACGAACTATTGTTAGTTTCGTTAATGCTAAAATCAACAGTAACTTTGTTCCTTGAAATGGCAATCCAATTGATTTGATTCATTGCAGTTTCTATGGTGTCCTGTTTGAGGCAGTCAAAATATCGCCTGTTACGATTTAAGATTAACTAAATCTCTTGTTTACACTTAACTATTCGAAAAGTAAAAGAGCTATTGTAAATATGAATTTTGACAGAACTGGGTATGTGCACCTATTTTCATGTGGATATATTTAGTATTTTTAGAGTTATTGCCCTTGACTTAGTAAAAATTTGCAATTTTCAACTTGTGTCGCAAGTAACTCAAAAAATATTTGACCTAGAGTCATGAAACCTTTCAGGAATGTTGCTCATCATGTGTAGTTGTGCACCTGGGTATTTTTGTGTGGATATATTTAGTGTTTTTAGAGTTATTGCCCTTGAATTAGTAAAAATTTCCAATTTTCAACTTGTGTCGCACATAACTCAAAAAATATTTGACCTGGAGTCTTGACACCTTACAGGAATGTTGTTCAGCATGTGTAGTTGTGCACCTTGGTATTTTTGTGTGGATATAATTAGTATTTTTAGAGTTATTGCCCTTGAATTAGTAAAAATTTCCAATTTTCAACTTGGGTTGCACGTAACTAAAAAAGTATTTGACCTAGAGTCATGAAACCTTACAGGAATGTTGCTCAGCATATGTAGTTGTGCACCTGGGTATTTTCATGTGGATATTTTTAGCAATTTTAGAGTTATTGCCCTTGACTTAGTAAAAATTTACAATATTTAACTTGTGTTGCAGGTACCTCAAAAAGTTTATGACCTGTAGGCCTGAAAGTTTACAAGAATGTTGGACAGCATGTATACTTATGCAACGTGGTGTTTTCTTGTGGATTTATTCAGTATTTGTAGTATTTTCCCTTTACTTAATAAAAGAATTTTATTTTTTAACTTGGGCACATGTAGCCAACAAAAAAAAATTTGACCTAGAGACATAAGATTGACAAATTGGTGGAGTGTGGGGGCACCCGTGTCCTATGGACACATTTCTAGTTTTTTACTGTGACATAGATAATCTCCGGGACACCTCTGGGACAGACACCTTATTTCTGGGACTTTCCAGGACATCCGCATGTATGTTTTAGGTTATATCAATCATCAGTTGTACATTCAGTTGCTTGAATCTTTTTAATGCATTGGTTTATAACTTATGTTTAAGGTATTCAGCAAACCAAAATCGATGCAGCCCCCAACAGCAAATGCAAACAGATTGCATAAGGTTTGGTTATGCAACATTTTTCCAAGCCTCAAGGCGGCCGAAGGCACAAACCTTGTAAGTCCACCCTAAATACGCAATTCCAGCCTAACATGCAGATGTCGGTGCCTGCACCTGTTGCGCCTGTGCCACCACCAAACATGGCAGCACCAATACCCCCGCCAGTATGGAGCACTTCAAGCGGTTCACATATCAATTCAAATCCTACACAATCTTTGTCAATGGGTGAGTGGTTTATTACAGAAAGTGAGCTTTTAAATTGCTTTTGTTCTAAATGTTGAAAAAAATAAAATAATAATTTAAATTGACAATGAGTATTTTAATTATTTTAATAAAATGAAAAATAAAATTTGTTAATTATTCTTAGGTGTTCCTCCACCGTCAACAACAATGATGGCAGCTGCACCCCCACCTCCTCCACCAACTAACAGCAATCTATCAACAAATATGGGTAACATGCCATGGCTGCAGCAAGGTATAATTTATGTTTTGCTTCATAGTCTTACAAGGTTTAAAGACGCAGTGTTATTTTTAGCTCTACTTTTTGTGGCCCCACTTTTTGGGGAGGGATTTAGATTTACCCTTGTCTGTCCGTCCCTTCTCATTCTGTGTCGCACATAGCTCAAAAAGTATTTGACCTAGGGTCATGAAACTTTACAGGAATGTTGATCAGCATTTGTAGTTGTGCACCTGGATATTTTCTTGTGGATTTTTATAGTATTTGTAGAGTTATGTAGAGTTACTTGACTTTAAGTAAAGATTTGCAATTTTCAACTTGTGTCGCATGTAACTCAAAAAATATTTGACCTAGAGTCATATAACTTTACAGAAATGTTGATCAGCATGTGAAGTTGTGTACCTGGGGTTTTGCTTGTGGATTTATTCTGTTTTGTCAGAGTTTCTGCTCAATAACTTGAGTTTGCTTTGGCCTATTGACACCAAACTTGGTGTATGTATAGCTTATATCAAGAGACAGCGTAGAATTGCTATCCAGGTGTCTGGGATCAAGATCAAGGTCACTGTTACTAAAAATAGAAATTCAGTTTCAGCTCAATAACTTGAGTTTGCTTTGGCCTATTGACACCAAACTTGGTATATGGGTAGGTTATGTCATGAGGCAGCTTGGGATGGCTACCCAGATGTCAGTGGTCAAGGTCACTGATACTAAAAATATAAATTCAGTTTATGCTCAATAACTTGAGTTTGCTTTGGCCTATTGACACCAAACTTGATGAATGGGTAGCTTATATCAAGAGGCAGCTTTGGATTGCTACCCAGGTGTCTGTGATCAAGGTTAATGTATTCAGTTTTCATGTAATAACTTGAGTTTGCTTTGACCTTTTGACACCAAACTTGCTGTGTGGCAGCTTTGGATTATCACTTAGATATCTGGGAGCAAGGTCAAGGTCATTTGCCTACAATAGAATTTTCAGCTTCTACTCAATAACTTCAGTGCACTTTGACCTATTGATTGCTGTCACATCAAAACTTGGTCGTTGAAAACCTGGTTTTCGTCTCACTGCGGCGCTTCTTGTCTTTAAATAAAACTCAATCCCTGTTATACAGCATCAGTTTATTTAAGTTTAACAGATCATCCTGAAAGTCTAAACAATTATCCTCCTGATCGGGACCTGCATCCTTATTGCACAGGATGTCGACTTCCCAGTCAAATTAAACATATGATAATTCAGGATCTTCGACAGTAACATTGTAACATCCAGTTATAAATGTATTATTTCTTAATTTTTCATGTTTTTCAACATTATTACCGGTACTGTCGTACAAACTTTTACAGGAGGAACAGCGCATTTCATTTCTTATATGCCCGAAAGAATTTTGGGAATATTATGTTATATCCCCTGGCGTCCATCTGTCCGTCTGTCCAATCTCACGGGACATTAATTATATGGCTAGAGGGACAATAGGTAACTGTTCTTTCTCTTTGATGTCATTCATTCTGTAATGTCTTTATGTGGCTATTTACTTTTGTGCGGCTAAAAAGAACAATTAAGAGAACAATAGAGTAGCCACATTATTACTGTCCCGTTACAACTTCCGTCCGTCCGTTAGAAATTTGGTTTCCTGAGCATAAAATAAGTTCCATTTGGCCCACAATATTCAAACTTCATAGGATGATTGTCCATATTGGGTAGAAGACCCCTATTGAATTTGGGGTCACAAGGTGAAAGGTCAAGGTCGCTATTACCTTAAAACTGAAAACAGTTTCTGGAGCATAACTTAAGTTCCATTTGGCCCCCAATATTCAAACTTCATAGGATGATTGTCAATATTAAGTAGAAGAACTCTATTGATTTTGAGGTCAATGGTCAAGGTCACTGTTACCTTAAAACTGAAAACGGAGGAGTGCTTTTTGAAGGAGGTAATACTTTATTTAATTCCCATGTCTTACAAATGCTTCATCCTTACTAAAAAAAAACAACACTTTTATGCATATAATGCTTCGCCTAGCGGCGCCCTTGTTATATCGTTATATATAAGCCATTCCTGCTTTTTCTGTCTTCTTTAGGGGCGTCCGTGGCCTAGTGGTTAAGGTCGTTGACTTCAAACCACTTGCCCCTCACCTCTGTGGGTTCGAATCCCGACAGGGACTTTGGATTCTTTCATGTGAGGAAGCTATCCAGCTAGCTTACGGAACATCGGTGGTTCTACTCAGGTACCCGTTCGTGCCTGAAATAATGTCAAACAAAACTGTCTTCTTTTTTTTTTCATGCTTCCCGAAAATTTTTAGGGGAGCATATAGTCGCCGCCTTGTCCGTCCGTACGAAACCAGAGGTACTTGTGTGACTTGGAGAACAATGGGTAACAGTAAATTCTCTTTGATCCTATTCATTCCGTTTTTACTTGTGTGTCTTTTTTTAAGCCTTGTGTGACTAAAAATGGCCAAAAAGATCAAAGGAAAGGTCACATACCGTAAATTCCTAATAAATGCCCAGGCCTTTTGATAAGAAAAACAATCTACTCATCAGTGCTGAACTCGTGAGTAAATCCATAATTTCATTCAAATCATTCAGAATCCATTTTATTTTATAGTGTGAACTTTAAAATCTTAACACTTTTTAATGTTTTTTCCAACACTTGCTAACACTAAATGTATTTACAATGATTTGTGGATTTAGGAAAAACTGTGTTGTAAAAAAAGCCCCCCTTTTGGAAAATGTTTAGCCCCCAAAGGCGTTTAATAGGAACTTTACGGTAAGTACCACTTTTGTGAGTACGTCCGTCCGTCCGCTTTTCTTGTCCGGGACATAACATTGAAACAACAAGAGGTATCAACATGAAACTTTGTAGGTAGATAGATCACATTGAGTAGGTGTGCAGTGCACAAGAACAAGAACTCTGCCTTGCCTTATTTTTGAATTATTGCCCTTTGTTTATTTTTACACTTTGAACTTTGTCCGGGACATAACTCTAAAACTATAAGAGGTATCAACATGAAACTTTGTAGGTAGATAGATCTCATTGAGTAGGTGTGCAGTGCACAAGAACAGTAATTCTGCCATGGCTAATACTTGAATTATTGCCCTTTGTTATACCCCCAAAAACGAAGTTTAGGGGGGTACATAGGAGTCACCCGGTGGTCGGTCGGTTGGTCGGTCGGTCGGTCCAGACGTTCGTTGCATTTTCCTTGTCCGAAGCATAACTTGAAGACTAATGGTTGGAATTCAATATAACTACATACAATGGTCAAGCACATTGATAGGAAGTGCAGTGCACAAGAACCATAACTCTATCTTGACTATTTACAGAGTAATTGCCCTTTGTTACTTTTCCTTGTCAAGGGCATAACTTGAAAACTACTGTTTGGAATTCAAAACAACTTCATACAATTGTCAAACACAATAAGGGGGAGTGCAGGGCACAAGAACCATAACTCTATCTAAAGTAATTACAGAGTTATTGCCCTTTGATACGTTTCCATTGATTTTTTTTGTCCGTACCATAACTTGAAGACTAATGGTTGGAATTCAATATAACTACATACAATGGTCAAGCACATTGAGAGGAAGTGCAGTGCACAAGAACCATAACTCTATCTTGACTAATTACAGAGTTACTGCCCTTTGTTACTTTTCCTTGTCCGGGGCATAACTTGAAAACAACTGGTTGGAATTCAAAACAACTTCATACAATTGTCAAACACAATAAGGGGAAGTGCAGTGCACAAGAACCATAACTCTATCTAAAGTAATTACAGAGTTATTGCCCTTTGTTACTTTTCCATTGCTTTTTTTGTCCGGACCATAACTTGAAGACTAATGGTTGGAATTCAATATAACTTCATACAATGGTCAAGCACATTGAGAGGAAGTGCAGTGCACAAGAACCATAACTCCATCTTGACTAATTACAGAGTTATTGCCCTTTGTTACTTTTCCTTGTCCAGAGCATAACTTGAAAACTACTGTTTGGAATTCAATACAACTTCATACAGTTGTCAAGGACATTAAAAGGAAGTGCAGTGCACAAGAGTCATAACTCCATTTTGACAAAATACAGAGTTACTGCCCTTTGATACTTTTCCTTGTCAGGAGCATAACTTAAAACGTACTGGTTGGAATTCAAAACAACTTCATACAATGATCAAGCACAATAAGAGGAAGTGCAGTGGACAAGAACTATAACTCTATCTTCAGTATTTATAGAGTTATTGCCCTTTGTTCCTTTTCTTTGTCTTTCTGGACTTATTACAGAGTAATTCAATTAAACTTCATCAATGGCCAATCACATTGAAAGGAAATGCAACATACAAGAACCACTACTATCTTTAATTGCCCACAACCATAACTCTATATTTCAATTCTTTTACAAGGTATTCTGTTACTAGTAACATCCTCATTTCCGAAGCAGTCTTGTGGGGGGTATTAATCACATTTAGTGATAGTTCTAGTTTATTTGTTATTTGTACTTTTGAACTTTTTCTGGGACATAACTCTAAAACTATAAGAGTTATCAATATGAAACTTTGTAGATAGATAGATCTCATCGAGTAGGTTTGCATTGCACAAGAACTGTTAATCTGTCTTTCCTAATTTTGGAGTTATTGCCCTTCGTAAACATCCAGGTATTGTGTAACAGACAAAAATGCCCTCGAAGAGTTGTAACTTATTTGTGAAACCTCTGAAAAAGGGTCATTTGGGTGATTCTGTGTAATTCTGTGCTTCACTGCACAAATTGGCCACCAGAGCTATAAATAGAAAAATCAAACTGCTGGCCGGATTTCAATGAAACTTCACAGGAGTGATCAGTACCATCCTTAGTTGTGCATATCCCATGTTCGACTTTGCTGCAAAAAATGGCAGCCAGAGCTATAAATAGAAAAATCGTGTCTGGCTTTCAAAGGTCGAACTGCTGATGGGATTTTGCCCAAATTTCACAGGAGTGATCAGTACCATACTTGTTTTGGGAGACATATGTTTTTGTGACAATTACCCCTTCTAGTTAAATACTGAAAATTATGTCATTGACATTAACAATAGAAATTTTACTAAAAGAGAAACTGATTTGAGTTATTAGCAGTGTGTGAAATTGATTTTGTTTTGTCGATTTTTGCAGAATACATTCCATTTCAGGATCAGTTCCACCACCACCACCATCATCACAGTCACAGTGGCAAGCTGCACCTCCCCCTCCTCCAGCCAGTATGTCAATGCCATGGCAGCAAGTGCCGCCTCCAGCTATGCAGTCAATGCCAAACCCAGTAGCTCCTCCCCCACCACCACCATCATCGGGACAGGGCTTCAGTATGCCTCCACCACCACCAGGACCTGGAGGATTTGATCCTAACCAGATGTCTGGTGTAAATCCCCTTCTAGTAGCTCCTCCTCCGCCACCACCAAACTGACAGTAAACTAAACAAAAGGCAAAACAGAATTGTAAATAGTGTGATACAGTGTACAAAAACATTATCTCCAATGTGGTGATAAAAGTGTGATGATACAGGAAACTTTAAGGATACTTCATCTTAGATCATGAGCTTTAAAATCATTAGCTTTAAAAGTCAGACTTGAGAAAAATATATTGATGCTTAGTTAAATAAAAGTATAGGTACTTTGAATGGTTTATTTAAAATTTGACCAAATTTATTTGGTTTTTAGCAGGGCTCTAGCTAGACCAAAAATCTAGGGAGAAGTGACTTCTCCCTCGGCTCCCATTAGGGAGAAGTTTGAGGCCTAAGGAGAAGTGACAAGATGCTAGGCGCATTGATTTGATCTATAAAAAGATATTTTATCTATTAAATCAGTAATATTCATCTTTGAATTACATATAAAAGATGTACATAACAATAATACAAATACACATTTTTAAATTTAATTCAAACACAATTTTTAACCAGGTTTTCAACGAAAACCAGGTTATTGTAATGCCAAGTCGGTGGGCGGGCTGGCGTCAACTTTGTTGTCTGCTCAATAACTTGAGTTTTATTTGGTCTATTGACACCAAACATGGTGTATGGGTAGCTTATATCAAGAGGCAGTTTGGGATTGCTACCCAGGTGTCTGTGATAAAGGTCACTGTTGCTGAAAATAGAAATTCAGTTTTCGCTCAATAACTTTAGTTTGCTTAGGCCTATTGACACCAAACTTGGTGTATGGGTAGCTTATATCAAGATGCAGCTTATGATTGCTACCCAGGTGTCTGTGATCAAGGTCAAGGTCACTGATCCTAAAAATAGAAGTTCAGTTTCCGCTCATTAACTTTGGTTTTTGTAGCCTTTTGACGCCAAACTTGGTGTATGGGTAGCTTATATCAAGAGGCAGCTTGGGATGGCTACCCAGATGTGTTTGATCAAGGTCAAGGTCACTGTTGCTAAAAATAGAAATTAGGTCTCTGTTTAATAACTTTAGTATGCTTAGACCTATTGACACCAAGTTTAGTATGCGGGTAGCTTATATCAAGAGGCAACTTGGGATTTCTACCAAGGTGTCTGTGAACAAGGTCAAGGTAACTGTTCCTTAAAAAAAGAAATTCAGTTTCCACATAATAACTTTAGTTTGCTGTGACCTATTGACACCAAACTTGCTGTGTGGGCAGCTTATATTAAGATGCAGCTTAGAATTGCTGCTTAGATATATGGGAGCAAGGTAAAGGTCACTTGTTAACAATAGAATTTTCAGCTTCAACTACTGTACACTTTGACCTTTGATACTTAACTTTGGAAGCCAACTTTAAAAATTGTTCAAAGAATTTAATTCCATGCAAAACTGGTTGCCATGTCAACCGAAAGAAAAAAAACTTAAAAAACCGAAAGATTTTGGCATGAAATATCATCTAGTCAATAGCTAGAGCTTAGATATTAAGCATGAAACATCTTCTAGTTGGTTTCTACCAAGTCTGTTCAAATAAAAGCACTGGGGTCAAAATTGGCCCCACCCCAGGGTGTCATTGTTTTTCCCTTTATGTACATTATAGTAAAAAAAATTAAAATCTTCCTTTAATAAAACCCTAAGAGCTAGAGCTTAAATATTTGGCATGAAACATCTTCTAATGGGTGTCTACCAAGTATGTTCAAAAAAGGGCCCTGGGGTTAAAATTTGCCCCGCCTAAGGGTCATTGATTTTCCTTCTATGTGTATAGTATACACTTATTAAACCTTTTAATCAGCCAATCTGTGGCTGCTTTCGCGTTCACGAAAATGGAGCACTTCTATTTTCAATCGTTGGAAACCAGACACGTGTTATGCGATTAACATGATTTCAAGACATTACATTTGACTAAAATATTCGTTAGAAAAACGGAAGGAGCTAGTGTTTAGATACTAAGCATGAAATATCTTATAGTCAGTGTCTACCAAGTTTGTTCAAATAAAAGCCCTGGGGTCAAAATTGGCCCCGCCCCTGGGATCATTGATTTTCCTAATTTGTATATAATAAAAACTTAAAAAATCTTCTTTTAAAAAACCCAAATAGCTAGAGCTTAGATATTAAGCATGAAACATTTTCTAGTGGGTGTCTACCAAGTTTGTTCAAATAAAAGCACTGGGGTCAAAATTAGCTTGTCCCCAGAGGGTCAATGTCATTCCCTTTATCTATATAGTAAAAATTTAAAAAATCTTTTAAAAAACCCTAAGAGCTAGAGCTAAAATATTTAGCATGAAACATCTTCTAATGGGTGTCTACCAAGTTTTTTCAAATAAGGGCCCTGGGGTTAAAATTGGCCCCTCGGGGGCCATAGGTTTTCCTTATATGTATATAGTAAAAACTTAAAAAACCTTTTAATCAGCCAATCTGTGGCTGCTTTCGCGTTCACGAAAATGGAGCACTTCTATTTTCAATCGTTGGAAACCAGACACGTGTAATGCTTTCAAGACATTACATTTGACTAAAATGACGATGCCCTGTGACACTTAAGATAAATTGCATAACTGGATACCGAAATTGATAGTCTAGAATATAATTTTTCGCAGAAATTGTATTCTAAATATCTACTTCAATTTTTTCTAAGGCAAAATCAATTCACGGATGACATAAATAATTGTCTGTAAGATTTGCTAAAATAACCTTATTATAAAATCCAAATAGGCTAAAAGTCGAAAAAAAAGTTACTGGGAATTACATGTTATAGACATAAAAAGATAGGATTTTCCGAAACTTCAGTCAGATTGGCGTTGGACTGTGAACCGGGCGATTCAAGCAATGTACAGGATTGATCATAAAATCTACGGTCATTTGCATTGTCCCACTGCTCTGGTATATAAGGAGGAAAGTAAGGGCATTTAGTACTGGTCAACTGGTTTGCATCCTGCACAGGAATGGCGCGGTGACTCATCTGTGCTCTGGTGAATTCACTTTGACTTACATTAAATTTGTAAATAATTTAGAGTGTCTGTGGATGCCATTAGATACTCAACCAATAGAATGAATAATGACATGTGTAAATTTAAAACTGGTACTGTTTATATGAAATCAAATGTACGTTATATCTGGGATGTACTATAACGTATCGTATGTTCCAGGTTATATCTTTATTTGCATTTTGTAAATGGGGAAAATAAAGTTATTTCCTTTTTGATAGACAGTGAATATACTTGTTTTACTATTAGTGTAAGTTTTATTTGAGATTGCTGAGCGAGAGTATTAATGAATAATTATGTTATATGCATAAACTTAGCAAGCCTGTCAGTATAGCAAGGATAATGTAATCGTGACATTTATGTAAACTATAAACACAATTTATGAACAAAATATGGTAAACAAGATCAACAAGGAAAGGCGGGGTTCAATGAACGGCCTAGCAGCTTTGGCTATACATGTATATGCAAACAACCGCTTATAAAGGGTATACCCTGTCGAACATCTTTAATTATAACATTAAACTGTTCTATTAACTGGTTTATTATATTGTTTTTGGACGATAAGGTCGTTGGCTTTACACCACAAACCTCTCACCAATATAGGTTTGAAATTTCAGCCATATAAGGGCCATATTCTTTCATGTGAATCGGCTATTCAGCTAGCTTGTTCTACTCAGGAGCCCGTTTGTGCCTTAAAATAATGCATGACGAAGTACCTGTGGTCATCATCCACTAGGTAAGCTTAAAAGTCGCCATATTACTTTTATAGTGTTAGTGCGACGTTAACCACAAACAAAAATCTTTTTACCCTCTAATGGCTGCAGTTTTGATCCAAATATCCTGAATATTGGTCAGGAAGGTTGTTTTGGTGATTTCTAGGTCAAATTCAAATATGTTTTATCTCGGGTCAAAAACAAGGTCAAATTTTCAACCGTCAATAATGTATCAGTTGTTTTAAAACGAGATATTCGATTAGTTTAAGTCCCAACATGTTTATTTTTGAAAACAAAACGATATACAAGAGTAGTTTTCCATATCTATCCGAAAATATATAAAATATTTCCAGTTTTCTTACTGTACGCCTAATATTTGGTCCGATAAACCAACTGTACGCACAAATGTTGGTATGTTTTTATGTAGCAACTTCCTCATTACAGTACATCATATTCAATTTTGATGAAATATCAAGTTTTGAGTTTGTATGTTAATCATATGACAACCACAGTGTCAATTAAAACAACAGTGTCAATTAATGTATTATACTATGATATAGTTAATTTAAATATTCTTTTCTCACAAAGGTTAATCATTAAAATGAGATAAGTTATGCACAGAAATTTGAAATTCTATCAAGTAATCAATAGTCACGATATTATTCGTTTTGTTTCTTCCATTTTTTTTTGCAATGGAACTTGAAATTTATAAAAAAAAAAGATACTGGTTTGATTTCCTCTATGGATTGGATGTTATATGTTGCCGTCAGTTTACCTTCAATAACTTTTTTAGTTATGAATTAAGGCCTCTGTAATTTTGATGAAATGTGTGTCGGTCCTATCTCCACATCCTCAATACAAAATATGCAATTGTAATCGAAGATTTATGAAATACTTAATTAAAAACACTTACTCTGACGTGTGTTTACACGGGTAAATCCGCCACTAGGGCGTATTGCATGAAATCACCTCGCTTAAAGGAGTATCGCACCGCTTGTTATTACTAAGTATCAAGTATTTTTGAGTGTGAATGCACCATTCCAGTTGAAAAGCGCAGGAAAGTAAACTAATGATGGATATATATTTCCAAGTTCATATTAGGGATCATGCATTTGACAACCCAGACCGTAGAGGAAACGGCGGAAACTAAGAGTCATAATATTTGACCTTGATGCACCACCGACAGGAAATTTAGCGATGTGCAGGGAATTCCACAAATGTGATGAATCCAGCCAAAGTATCACATATGTCAGACATTTACATGTTACACGTGATCACGTGTTATACCTTATAACCAATACCGATTTCCGGCATGGCAGGGATATATATATGCATATATTTTTTCATTACGGCATATGATTATAAAAACATATTCAAAGTTATCACATATTCATGGCATTTTCGAGAGTATCATATTAGTTTTAAAGATTTTGAAAGGCTATATAATATGGCCGTATATAAACGGTTGTTTGAAAATATAATATATTTCTTATTAAATAAACAACAGTCGTGTACATGTATATAAATATATAAACTTTATAATACTGCATG